GGCGACCCCATTGGCGGAATCTGCCCTGACGACCAGCGGCGCTTCTGATTGGACATTTTGGTTGGACCCGGTGTAAATAAAAGAAGCCCTGCGGCGCGTCGCGATCGGAGGTCCTAGGAGAGAGGAGTCCCCATGTCGGAGAGCCGACATGTGTGTGAGTCAGCGGTCTTAGGCGAAAGCTGACCTATGTGTTAGAGAGGAGAGCTCGGCTCTTCGAGTCTCTGTCGGCCCCAGTGCCGAAATTGTAACGCCTCTGTATATATGCTGTACATAAACCTTGTTTAACTCACCGTCGTCTCGTCCGCTCGTCTTATCAGCTCTGCGCAGAAGCAGTCGCGAGCTGAGAAACATACGCTACCAAACGGCTGGTGACCTTCCCGGCGAAGTTGAAAGCAGTGGCGCCTTCGAGGCCGTGTTGGCGTCGCCGTCTTTCGCAACAGTGATGGCTTCGGCGGGATCGGTCCGTCTTTCGCAACAGTGGTGGCTTCGGCGGGATCGGTCCGTCGTGCGCAACAAGGAGGAGAACATCTAATACTAGCCCTTGATTTAAAAGGAGCATTCGACAATATCTTGCATAAGGCCATCCTAACAGAATTAAACAACATGGGATGTGGGACAAACACCTACAATTACATCAAGGCATTCCTCACAGAAAGGCGGGCTTCGATAAGCGTAGCACAAGTCACGTCAGACGCTTTTGAGATGCCAAACAAAGGTACCCCTCAAGGAGCCATCCTCTCTCCCCTGCTCTTTAATATCACCATGTTAGGACTCACGCGAGCTCTGGATGGAGTTCCGCAGTTAGGATACACTCTCTATGCGGATGATATCACCCTATGGGCAACGCGTGGGTCTCTAGCTAACAAACAGCAGACACTTCAAGAGGCTGCAACAGCAGTTGAAAACTTTGCGAAGGCAAGCGGGCTCAGCTGTTCCCCAGAAAAATCTGAAATTATCAGGGTACATGGAAAAAGATACAAAAGTAACGGAAGCATTGACATAAACATTGAAGGTGTCAAAGTACGTGAGGTGACTGTCGCACGTATTCTGGGTTACTGGGTTCAAAGTAATGGACGAGCGAATCATACAATAAACATATTAAAATCAGCCACGAAACAAGTTGCACGAATGATCCATAGAATAACATACCACAAACAGGGCATGAAGGAAGGAGACACAATTAGATTACTACAGGCACTTGTACTGTGTAAGGTTACGTATAGTCAACGTTTCCACGTGTTAAACAAATCAGAAGAAGAAACCATCGAGTCTATAATTAGGGGCGCCTGCAAAGTGGCCATAGGGCTACCGGTAAGCACACCAACTACGTCGAAAACGGCCGGGATAGTGCAGCTATAGTGCAGCCATCGCCGCTAAAAACACACAGGAACATTCAAGCAGCTCTTAAAATGGACAACTATGTCTATCTAGCGGAAAGCATATCACGCCTTTCCTGAGGCGTTGATAAGAGGCCTTGTGAGACACTTCATGGCTCACCTCCGAGATGTCTTGCGCACAGCGTGTATATTGGAGGCCATGCGACTCTCGCTTTAGATTACACATTGTGTGTGTGTGTGTGTGTGTGTGTGTGTGTGTGTGTGTGTGTGTGTGTGTGTGTGTGTGTGTGTGTGTGTGTGTGTGTGTGTGTGTGTGTGTGTGTGTGTGTGTGTGTGTGTGTGTGTGTGTGTGTGTGTGGGTGGGTGTGTGTGTGTGTGTCATCAAACGCTCGCTCGTGCGTTTGTGGGCGTGTGTAACAAAACATAATAAGTATGCACATAGTGGTTAAAGGCCGCACTATGGACCGGATTTTGCTATCGCATTCAACTCTTAAAGACGAAGCATAAGTATAGTGTACACTATAGCATAAGGGTCGCCCAATTTTATTCAACTCGCGATGACGAGACACCAGTAGCCACATTATTTTTCGGCTCAACGCTGCTGCACTTAAGCCGTAAAGCATAAAGTGTCGATTGCAGCATCCAGCGGTGAGCGACATCACCCGAAAGCTCCAATTAAAACAAACGTTACAGGGCGTACAAACTTTTATCACCGATAAAAAGACAGAAAAGCTAACTTCGGTTGGTCCTAGCTCGTAGATAACTCTCAGTTCTTTTATCGTCTCTTTTTTGCCGTTCTTACTTGGTTTGCACAGACGTTTTCAGTTCGAAAAAAAAAAAGTGTCACATGCAGTTGAGTTGTTGGAACGTGGCACGATAGGACATTTACACGGCACACTGATTGGCGAAATTGGCCGCGAACCCTCAATCGCGCGCTCGACGCTCTCAAGCATTGTGCTCTTGATGGATGGATGGATGCTATGAGCGTCCCCTTTATAACGGGGTGGTGGCAAGTATGCCACCAGGCTCGACAAAAAAAAAAAAAACCTTTTTTCTTTTTTTTATGTTGGCCTAATGCCTCTACTTCGATAAATTCTATCTTAATGGAAAAAAGGTAAATTTTCAGCTTAAGTTCTCTGCCATTTACGGCACACTGTCCATATTTTATTTTTCCAATATTTATTTTTGTCCTTTCTCTCTAATTTTCTGCCACCAATACTCTAACCGTCTCTTACTTATTTCAATCGCGGGTGTGTTCAGCTTTCCATTGTTGTCCCTAAAACCCAAGGCTTCCTGTAGGCTCGTGCCCAAACGTACACCTGGGAGGATATCTCCACATTCAATCAGAACATGCTCCGCCGTTTCCTTATCTTTCCCGCAGCATGTGCATTGTTCTTCTTCTTTACTGAATCTTGCTTTATAACTACGCGTTCTAAGGCAACCCGATCTCGCTTCAAACAGTAAAGCGCTTCCCCTTGAATTATCGTAAAATGCCTCCCTCCTTATTTCATTTTTGCCCTTTCGGTAGTTACTCAAAGCCGGTTTTTTCTCCATAGCTGCCATCCAGTAAATCCTCTCCGCCTCCCTGACTTTTCCCTTAACGCTCTTTGTTGACATATGGCTCACAATACCAGCCGTATATTTACTAGTGAGTCTTCTAGTTCTTTTTCTCCACTGTGTGTCCACGCTCTTCCTATACAAATAACGGAACACCTTCTCTGCCCATCTACTCTCCTTCATATTTCTTAGCCTTTCTTCGAACCTTATTTTGCTCTGCGCTTCCCTCGCCTCAAAACCTGCCCACCCCATATCGCCCTTTACAGCCTCGTTTGTCGTCTTCCCGTGAGCACCCAACGCGAGGCGTCCCACAGTCCTTTGATTTACATCCATTCCCGATTGCACCTCTGCCCTCATGCACACCACTGAGTTCCCAAAAGTAAGCCCTGGAACCATTACACCCTTCCACAGACCTCGAAGCACCTCATACCTATTGTATCCCCACAACGCTCTGTGCTTCATTATTGCCGCATTCCTCTTTCCTTTTGCTGCCGAGGCTTTTTCCTGTACCTCCATGTATCTATCACTCTCATTTACCCATACTCCAAGGTACTTGTATTCACTTACCCTCGGTATTTCTTGGCCTTGTATGGACACCGTCTTATCACAGGGATCATTGAATACCATCAAACCACACTTTGTTACACTGAATCCTAGTCCAAGAGCTTCACCTTCCCTTCCGCATATATTCGCCAGCTGCTGTATATCATCTCGACTGTCCGCAAATAAGACGATATCGTCCGCATAAAATAAACCTGGAAGCTTCTGCTCAATCATCATGCCGCCCTGTTTGTGTGACAGATTAAAACCAATGTTGCTACCTTCTAGCGCTTTTTCCATACTCACCATGTACAGCATGAATAACAGTGGGGACAAAGGACATCCCTGTCTCAGACCCCTGCTAACCTCAACGTTCTCTTTGCTACGCATTCCTTCCCACTCTATGCAAACTGTATTTTCTCGGTATATCTCCCTCAAAAGCTGTATACAGTCGTCGCCCATGCCCATTCCTTTCAATATATCCCACAAAATTTCCTGATTAACGTTGTCGTATGCCCCAGTGATGTCTAGAAAAGCCACGTACAAGGGCCTATTCTCTATTTTAGATATTTCTATACACTGAGTGAGAACAAACAGGTTATCGTCTAACCGCCTGTCGACTCGAAATCCGTTCTGAAGTTCTCCCAAAATATCGTTATGTTCGGCCCATGTTTCTATTTTCATTTTTACTGCTTGCATCGCCAACCTGTATAGTACCGATGTAATGGTTAGTGGTCTATACGAGCGAATCTTGTCCTTTTCTCCCTTGCCTTTATAGATTAAGTTCATTCTACTTTGTCGCCAACTGTCCGGTATTTGTCCGTCCTTTAAGCTTTTTTCTACTGCTTTTAACAATGCTTCTTTAGTGTTATGTCCTAGTTCGTTAATGAGGCTAACGGGAATCCCATCTAAACCCGCGGCAGTACGCTTTGGAATTTTTCCTTCGGCCTTTTTCCAGTTGAAATTATCTAGTACTAGCTCTTCCTCTGTTGCTTTCTCCGCCACACTTTTACTCACCGGGGAAATCCCCTGGACGCTCTTTTGAATGTAAGTATGGTAGCGCCATCTAGTGTAGCTGTTACAAAGTGCTGCTTTCCGCTATAGCATCCGAGATGGCGCGCGGGCGGGCATTCTCCATCTCGTAGTGCAAGTTTTTACGCTAAATAAATTGCACAATTAACCTTTGTGTCCTTCATAGAAGCATTTAAATTAATTGAAACACTATTATCGCTTTTTTAACGGTGAAAAGACGCTTTTAAAAGTGTCTTGATAAGTATAGCTACTTTTGGGTCACGCGATTAAAATAATGAGTTTACATAGAGGAAGGAGTACTCTTTTCTTCCTCCACCTGTGTTGGTAACAATGACAACTATTACATTTCGGTTGTGACAGTGTTGTAACGGAGTTGTTTCAGTTGGTGGTCTTAAGGGCCAGCTTTCGGTCCCAGCAATAACTACGCTTTCATGTAGGCTTGCATCTCAGAGGCTATGCATCCAGCAGTTTAGTGAGACCTGGAGTCACGAGATGGCGCCGCTGTACCGCTAGTCAGAGCTTCATTTGGTCGCAAGGCGCCTCAATGGCAACCTTCCTTCGTCCCTCAGTCGGCCTAGCTGATTGTATGTATGGTCTGATCTGCGCCAGCCGCTGACGCCCGCTCCGAGTAACGCGAATGTATGACAACGAAGTTCCAGCTCGCGGAGTCCGGACCGAACGCGCACCTTGAAATCGCAACCGGTTTGGGGGGCCCGCCATTGCGTCCCCCACTGCCCGCCGAAGCTGCCGCACGTGTCAACCTTGCGCGACCGCCGCGCTGCGTTTTGAACGCCTCGAAATGCCCGGGTGTTGTGTGCCGTTCTGCTCGAACCACTCCAGAAATGGTTGGAGGCTGTATCGCTTTCCGAGAGAGCCAAATAGAAGACTTCAGTGGACCGCCAACGTCAATCGCGATCAGTGGCAGCCGTCATATGCGTCGAGCGTTTGCGAGGTGAGTATTGTGTGGGCCCGCCGGCGGCGCAGGCTTTTCAGGCGCAGCTGCCATTCTCGCGCCCATTTGTATTGTTGACGATAGTTATAGCGCGAGAACAGAACGATGACGCAGAGACAAGGACACGAAGGATACGAGCGCTTGTCTCAGCATCTTCGTTCTGTTCTCTCGCTATAACTATCGTCAGGTCATACCAACTAGCCCAAGCTTCCACACTTCTATGCATTGTTGCGTCGTCTCCGTCGCTAGCGCGTAGGAGACTATGAGCAGAGTTATTCAATCTGGACTACGAGAAGCGTCTTTCAGAACAGCGGGCCCTCTTTTATCAGCGGATGTGCGCGCTGCAGTGCATCGAGTGTTAGGTTATAGTAACCCGTCTGGCGTTTAGCTTCGGCACCGCCAAACATTCTTTTTTGTCAGATATCGTCTTACGGGCACAAGTTCGCCCGAACACCGTTGAGTTCTCAAGTTGTCGCGTCTCTGTACCTCCGTTCAAAGACTGTTTTCTTCAACATAGCGAAATTGTCTACCATTTACACGCTTCGGCGGCGGCATAATGCGCATGGGACCCGGCGCCCGCGGGTGCACATAAAATGCGGTCATCTTGTAATACATGATAGACGCTCGGACGTTTGCTGGTGATGATGACTACTGGTAGGCACCGTTTTCTAATTGTTAATATTTCATGGATGGCGAACTTGTGGGAAATCAGCTGTTTTTGCCGTGGGAATAAGATACTTTCTACAGCAAGACAATTACAACATAACAGACATTTTATTGAGGTCACTTTTCATGTAACGTTGCCAGAGTACACCGTTGCGTTTCGCCGTTGCTTGTGATTGATTGATTTGTGGGGTTAACGTCCCAAAACCACCATTTGATTATGAGAGACGCCGTAGTGGAGGGCTCCGGAAATTTCGACCACCTGGGGTTCTTTAACGTGCACCCAGATCTGAGTACACGGGCCTACAACAATTCCGCCTCCATCTGAAATGCAGCCGCCGCTGCCGGGATTCGATCCCGCGACCTGCGGGTCAGCAGCCGAGTACCTTGGCCACTAGACCACCGCGGCGGGGTGCGCTACAAGGACTCATTTGACGGCCCACCTGCTAGGAAGAGTCAAGTCATAATTAATCGTTATCGCTCCCCGGAAAATGACGATCGCTTGACTCAGTGTTATTCTGTACCCATAGGAACCCAATGAATCTATAAGTAAAATTTATTTTCGTGACCGAATCGCTCGTGCCCGAGAGGTCCCTTTACCAATGGGAAGCTCTGGGTTGCTGTGGGCTTGTCGGCTGGGTCTTCGTGTGGTACTTGTATGGGCGTTGTCCATGACTTTCTGTAGCATAAATCATAATTTTTTCGCTTTTTTATTAACACGTAGATTCACTTTCTGGAGGAGAGCTTCGAGCAACACCGCGCCGATGGCTGGAGGAAGCTAAAGCCTAACGCTGTGCCGACGCTGTTCCCACGGAATAGTAAGTGTCGAATCATTTGGCGTCATTTGCGGCACAAGTGCGCAGCGACTGTTCTTGTTGCGCCACACACATATGCGCGATTTCTTTGTGCGAACTACACGTGATGGTTGTATGTACCATACTCAACACCCGGCAGCTAGAGTAGCCAGCCAGGCGATGGACCAGGATAATATCTCTGGATTGGTACATCCATTATCTATCTGTCTTGTGCCACATTAATAATGTTCTCCCATAAAGGTATGAATCCGTGTGGTGCATGTGAGGTCTTACTTACATTCCTATGTACTAGTAACTGTTCGGTAATCGTGATACATATAAAGTCAACCTCCTTGCTCAAGGCAGTGTGCGCTGCTTTCCGTCACATGTTCCACGGGAATGTCTAACTGAGCCACCAGTAAAGAACAATACAACCCCACTTCTGGCTACGTCAGTGCCTCTCATACCGCGGCTGGTTACCTTGTATAACTTTTAATCACCGTCGGTCTTCCTACGCCCACTGCAGGGTGAAGGGCTCTTCCATGTTTCACCAAATAATCTTGTTGCACCTAAAAACCTTGCTTCGGCCACCCTATTCCCTGCAAACTACTTCATGAGCTTCTATTCCCGTAAACTTTTTCACTTGACTTCGTAGCTCCCTCTCGCTCACACACATTCCTTTCGAATACAGTCTCTCACAAGAACGCGCCACCAGGTCTACACTGTCAATTTTTATGAAGAGGAACACAATCAAGCGCGTGGCCTATACGCACTACGGAGGCGGCTTCCAGCGCTTTTAAGCGGGAGGGAGAGCAACCACAGCTGAACCACAGCCTCTTTTCCCGTCATCTGGTGGCGAGCAAAATAACCGGTCATTGGCGACATGGAACTGACGGAAGGATTGCAATCCCCTCCCTCTTTAAGTCGATAACGCTAGAAGCCAGCAATGACAGGTTCTTTTGCTCGCCGCTAGATGACGCAAAATGATGCTATGGTTGCTCCCAGCTTGAATTCGCAGCAAGCTGTCGCCGCAGCGCGGAGGCCACGCGCTCCCGTGTTTTCTTTCAAAAAAATTGACAGCTGCACACTTTCGTTTCAAGCGCTACGGAATGTCACACGCTCCCAAATGTTTTTCCCCTTTTCTGCAGAGCCCGCTCGCGGCAGAAAGTCACCGAAACTTGCAGCAGGAGCAGCAGCGACACCTGGAGCGAATGATGGTTCCGTTTCCACCGAAGCACCGGAAGGATTCGCGTCGACAGAGGTGGAGGTGCACATGTTGCCATCCTCCAATGGTAACGACCCGCCTACGCGAGTGAGCCGCGCCAAGGCACGGCCGGCCAGGACAAGGAGGACGACGCGGCGAAGGACTGTTACGCAAAAACGAGACGTGCCGAACGCTGTGCCGTCAAAATCTCTCTGTTCAAAAAGTTCCTGCGTTGAATCGCGAGAAAAGCTGGCCGACATGACCAGAATACACGATGAACTAGTGGAGGCTTACGCGGTCGCGAATTCAACCGTTAACGCGCTTAGGAGTAGGGTCGACGAATTGGAGAGCACCGTGGAAATTCTTCGACAGCATCTACGGCACCGCGAAAGTGGAGACTTGCAACCGCCATCATGAGATATCAACCAAAGAAGTGTGTACATCCAATAAAGCTGGCGTTTAGGTTACCTGCGCGATGTTTCCTATTATCCATGTATACGTCTTTTCACAGAAAGCTCATTCCAAGCGCTACCCTATTCTCATCAGAGGCATGACTCTCCACTCCCCCCCCCCCCCCTCCCAAATAATAAAGCACTTCCGAGGCATTGACGTCAGCTCCAGTACATCCGTGCAGTGGCGTTGCCAGGGGGGGTGCACACTGGGCCCGTGCCCCCCCCCCCTCGAAGTATTTCGCTATCGCATACAGAACGAGATATGAGATTTAAAGAAGTGCCCCCCTCCTCCAAAAATAAAAAAAGAAAAGTCTGCTTGCTTACGCCCCTGCACCCGTGCCTTAGTTCACAAAGGCTGCGTTCCTCTTATCCTATAAAAGAGACCTCAAAGCCACCCTGACAAAAGATGCTACACGGATCAACGGTTTGTTAGTGCATGCGGAAAACCGCTACAAGGTGCTTAGTCCTCAAAAGGCCCGAGCAGCACTTTGAATAGCACCGTTAACTGCATGAATTGTTGCGTCAAGATTCATCACGTCTGTTTCCTTCACCCCGTCTTCGCGCCATTTTTTTAAAAACGTTTGAGTGATGTACCAACTAGTCCGCCCTCTCGCCACTTTTCCGTCTTACGCAAATTCATTGGCTTCCTTTAGCAGTAATATAGACGTACAAGCTGAGCACCAAGCTCCGAAACTTACCTCCCCCCCCCCCCCCCATCTTTCAATGCACATCGATTGTTAGCGACTTGTATCTAGGTTTCGCCTCTATCAATGTTAAGAGATCTGACCTCGAGGAAGAAAAAAGCAGGGCCAAGTTTACGAGGTGTGGACGTGTTATCCGTTCAAGAGAAAAAGTTGAAGGGGAGGGGGGGAGACCCGGAGCATGATGCCACGTTTTACGTTGAGTTATTACACCATTGTAAGTTTCGCAAAAGGAATATCGGCAGGCTGTCTACTTTCCGTTAAAAAAGTTTCCGAGATGGAGTGGGGAACACTACTTTTTTGTGACAGAGGCCTAATAGCTAATCGTGAGTTTACCTGATTAGTTGTGCAATGAAGACTTCTACGAAAATATGTTCAAAAGAATCGAGACGCACGGCACTCGACCAAGAGTTGGAACAACTTCGAGCGGTCCGCCGACGTGCCGAAAGACGATACAGACGCACGAAATCTATCTCTGAGAAAAAAATCCAGCGTCGAATGCACAAACTTCATGAACAACGGTGGAATAATTTTTGTGACTCGTTAGACCCTCGAAAACCCTTGTCTCCCGTATGGAGGACTCTTCGAGGTATTCACTCGCATCCGCAACAGCGTCACCCCTTCGCCGCTCTGGCGCTACATCAACGTCGCTCACAGCTTGATGTTTCTGGGGAATTTTGTGCAAAGATCGCCGGCGACATCTCTATACCGATCGATCTAATGCCACAGGATGTTCCAGTCACACGAGATCAGCAAATGGAGGTTGCATTCACCATGGAAGAACTTCAGGCGGCATTGAACACATGCAGACGCTCATCGTCCCCAGGTCCAGATGGAGTGACCTATACTGCCCTACGTCACCTAGGCCCGAAGGCACAGCGCTGTCTCCTGGACATTTTCAATAAGTCTTGGCATGATGGAATGGTGCCTGATGAGTGGAAGTGTAGTCGCCTGGTGCCTTTGCTAAAGCCCGGAAAGTCTCCATTCGACTCGGCATCATACCGGCCTATAGCACTAGCAAGTTGCGTTGGTAAGGTCATGGAGAGGATGCTGCTTACACGCATGGAATGGTACCTGGAACATTATAACATCTATCCTGATGCTATGGCTGGTTTTCGACGAGGTCGGTCCTCAGTTGATAGCGTTATTGACTTAGTGACCTCTGTTCAGCATCAGAAAGCTCAGAAGCAGCTGTCGGTAGCTCTGTTCTTAGACGTGAAGGGTGCCTATAACAACGTGACCCACGAGACTGTTCTCAATGCTCTTGAAGCAGCTGAACTTGGAGGTTGTGTCTTTCGATGGGTAAGAAGCTACCTCACAAAGAGATCCATGTTCTTTTTAACTGAAGATGGGTCTACGAATAAGTATTTCACAAGTTGTGGGGTGCCACAAGGCGGTGTTTTGAGTCCAACACTTTTCAACCTGGTTCTCGTGGGGCTCACTGAAATGCTGCCACAGACGGCTTATATATCTCTCTACGCTTACGATATCTGCATTTGGGCATCCGGCGTGACACGGCCTCAAGTACGCGCAAGAATACAGAAAGCAGCAACAATGACATCGACATATACCTTCGCCAGCAAGGTTTGACTATCGCCACAGAAAAATGCGCAGCGGTGGCGTTTACACGCAAACCGATGTCTTTCTACTCATTGTGCATCGATGGCAGATCAATCCCATATAAGAGCACTCATAGATTCTAAGGCGTCATCGTAGATCGTGACCTAACCTGGAGCCCGAATGTCACATACCTAAAGAAAAAGCTCATTGGCATTGAGAATGTATTCAAGTTCGTCGCCGAAAAATCATGGGGCCCATCCGTGCACTCCATGTTGCAGCTTTATACAGCCCTCTTTCTCGGAACTTTCCGGTACAGCCTTCCTGTCCTGTCCAACACGTGCAAGACTAACATCCGTGCACTGCAAAGCGTACAAGCCCAAGCACTTCGGACATGCCTTGGCCTTCCAAGATGCTCATCGACAGTGTCAACTATTGTTATTGCACAAGAACAACCGGTCACAACGCACATCATTGTCGAGACGCTGAGAGCACACATTCGGCATTTATCACGCCTACCGTCACATCATTTAGCGTGTTTGACAGCTCGGAGGCCCCGATCTTCGTACTGCGGTATCGTGACAAAACATCAGGACATACTACCGCCTGGCTTCAAACTTGCGATGCATCCAGCAACTGCGCCATGGAGTCTTCGTCAACCTGACGTGCGCTTATCAGTTCCTGGAATCTTTAAGAAGGCACCCATGTCAACGCTAGCCCTGAAGCAATTGACTTTGCGTCTGTTGGACGAAAGATACTTCGACCGCATACATGTTTAGACCGATGGCTCCACTAATTCCAACAGCTCCACAGGAGCAGTGGTTGTTCCATCTGAAAATGTGTTGCTTCAGTACAAGTTTTCTCACACCACGACGTCGACAGCAGTAGAGCTCGCAGCACTTCAAGGTGCAGTAAAGTACATTCTTCGTCAGCAGCCTAACCAATGGGCCATCTTTTGCGACTCCAGGTCAGCCTTACAGTCACTACGGTTTGTTATGCAGCACGGGCTACATGAACAATCAGTATATCAGATAAGGCACGACTACCACGAAGCGGTCGCGGAAGGTCACGATATTGTATTTCAGTGGTTGCCGAGTCATTGCGGAATCGTCGGCAATGACCGCGCGGATGAAGCTGCTCGATCGGCTCATGACCAAGACCAGCGCACGCCCATACCACTCTTGAGAACGGACGCTGCAAGGCTACTACAATCACTTGCTCGCCGTATATCTCTCCTACAATGGAATACGCAGGGTTTCTCCAACACGCACCTGTACTCGATCGACCCAAACTTGCAACTTCGTTTGCCATCCGGGTTCCCACGATGCGCTGAAACTTTACTGTGTCGCATGAGGTTGGGCGTGGCATTTACGAATTCGTACTCTCGTCTCCTTGGAATGGCGAGCACTTCGTCATGCAACATCTGCGCCTGCGAGGAAACGCTTGAGCACATTCTATGTCATTGCCCAGCATGCCAGACTGAACGACGTATTATGGAAGCCAAGCTCTGTCAGCTGGATTCACGGCCGCTTACAGAAGAGGAGATCCTGGGACCTTGGCCGACGGCTTCCCATACGCGCAAAGCCACGAAAGCCCTGTTGTACTTTTTAAGAACCACCAAACTTCACGACCGCTTGTGAAAGAACTGTGCGAGACCGTGCTGTGTAGTCTCGAGCTGACTATTTATTCTTCTCTTTCTTACTCCTTTTCTTTTCTGTCTCTTTCCGTTCTATTATTCCCCTTTTCCCCCACCCTAAGTGTAGGGTAGCCAACCGAGCCAAGCTTGGTTAACCTCCCTGCCTTTCCTCTCTATTTATCTCTCTCTCTCTCTCCCTCTACCATCCTCCAATGGCGTATTGTTTGCATATGCGCGCCAAAAGTGGTTGCTTTTTGCAGAGGCAGCATGCTCGATTGGAAGTGCTCACCGGGAGCGAAGAATAGGATAACCATCCGGTTTGTGACAAAAGCGAGCGTTGGGGTCCCGCCGCAGCGGTCTAGTGGCTAAGGTGCTCGGCTGCGGACCTGCAGGTCGCGGGATCGAATCACGGCTGCGGCGGCTGCATTTCCGGTGGAGGCGGAAATGTTGTAGACCCGTGTGATCAGATTTGGGTGCACGTTAAAAAACCCCAGGTGGTCGAAACTTCGGAGTCCTCCACTACGGCGTATCTCATAATCATATGATGGTTTTGGGACGTCAAACCCCACATATCAATCAATCAACAAAAGCGTTGGGCTGCTAAGTCAATTACTTAGTGATTCCGACCTAGGAGACGTAGCCGAGTGCTTCATAACAGGTCGTGAAGTTTGATCTACGCATTGTCAGGCCACCAGCCATGCTCGCCTGGATAAGGCATACATGCATACAAGCTATAGTTTCACGGTGAAACCTGTTTTTTTGGAACATAAGAAAAATTATTTCAATTTGGCATTTTAAAAGCTTAACTTGAAGTTAATTGGCATGACAGTGCTTTTAGCGAAGGAATTAACAATAATAAATTGAATGATGACTGTAATATTGGCAAGAAGTGTGAACGTTGAAAGCAAAGCGTTATAACGAGTCGTCTTGAGATCTAGTGCTCTAAATTACAAAGAAAAAAATGAAAGAAAATGAACTCACAGCGACCTTCCAGCGATTGTTAGCGCTCTAAAGTAAACATCCGGGCGTATTTAAAGAGTACATCTGAACTATATAAAAGAAACTAGAAATTATCGAACAAGGAAAGTCGCCGAGGAGCACTCACTTGGACAAATATTCACACAAATTAGGGGAAGTAGA